CTGATGGCCACTTAAGCTCCAAAGGAAACTCCTATACTGCTGCTGAATTAACTGATAAACCAATGGCCACCTGCACAAACTGGGGATTTCATAGTAAGGATTCAAGAAGAGGAAGACATTACTGAGGTTCTACAAAGCAGTCTTGGCTTTACAAGCTAATTTCCCAAACTCCTTTTCATTTTTGAGGCTTCAAAAGACCACGTTCCCAAAACAAGCCTGGGTGCCAGTGACCTGCATACAGAAATAAACTCAGTACAAACAGACATGGAGAGTTTAATTGACATAATTTTGTATGTGGCATATGTCACACTGAGGCCTTTGAGACAGTTGAACTGGCTCAGTGAGCAAGAGGGGGAAGCAAAATGAAACCAATTTACCTGGCTGGTGTTTGCAGGGAGGAAAGCCAAAGCAGCAGCAATACTGCCTTGCGCAGCCAACAGATTTGCATACTGGCTCATCTTCTCAGCCAACAGAGCCCCAACAGCATTAGGGTCCACTGCCTGTGTGAGCTGCACGGCCTTACGTAGGATTACTATTTTCTCAATCAAGTCCTGGAAGGTTGTGACAGAAGATGATTAAAATAACAGGCTCTAGAATTTCTAGCACCCCAATACCAAAGTTAACTGATGCCCAATTATAACTCCCATAGAATTATTTTAGAAACTTATTTTATGTTGTTATGCTTTTCTAGCTGAACTTCAGATTACCAAAACAACTTGTCAAATCTTTTTATTCTAGGAATGTCTAAGATCTTAATTTGCATTTTGATTGCTTTGCTTTATCTGCTCTGACTGTAAAAACTCCATATTCTTTCTCCAACGTACAGTAAATACTGACTTGTGACAATGCAAGGTGGCTTTACAGTAAACTACTTCTAAAATTAAAATCTAAAGGACATGGAACAAATTCAACTTATTTCGTAGGGTGGTACTGTATTAAAAAAGGATGCACTACAGAGGGACTGCAACCCTCTGCAGTGGGAGAGGAGATATTCACCAAGTGCAATGCTTTGCCTTAACAGAAATTCAGCAATAGCCAACATACTGTAGTCTAAAAATTAAAAACCACTCATAGCCACCATTTTAAAAGTTTTCTTTCAGAAACAACTGTGAATATTTGTCTTTTATGTCTTTAAGCCCTGAAATTTCTAAACTATCTATTGTATAAGCAGCTATTTTAAAACATGACAACAAACTGAGGTCTCTATGTACTCAAATAATACACTGCCCATCATAAAGAAAGTACATAATCCAAAAATGCACCAGATTTATTTTAGTAATTCAGGTAAATATTTCTGCAAATATATTTTGCAATACAGTGTCCATATTTTATAGCTGATTAAAAATACATGAGTCTATTACAGCAACAAATGACTTGCAAGCTGAAGAAACTTGCTCGGAGCAACTATGACAAAAGTCTATATAAAAGTCTCAGGGGTGTAGGCTGTAGCCG